GATCGAGCTACAAAGGGTGGTCAGGCTACAAAGAGAGGTCTTTACCTTCGAGAAGTATTACATGGGAATTCTGTTAAAGAACTGCTTTTCGTATCGACACAACGCTTTCGTGGCATCCGTTTTCGAATCACGTTCGCATGACTTTCTCGTTTCGCATATTAGCATGAGATAGAAATTGTCAAGGGTATATATCTGGAGTTGCTTCAAATTACTTTGTCTAAGCCATATGTATATTTATCACTATTGATTCGTATTTCTGAATTATTGGAACTGTTATTAGCCGAATTAAGAAAGTCTCGGTTGCGATTCTCTAACGAGATATTCGATACTTGTATATAGATGTTAAAGCATACAAATAATTTTGAATATAATACGATAAAATGATATATATGCATAGATCATAAATATCCAATCAACAGACAATGTTTTTCAAATATATTTTTAATATTTATTTAATATTAAAAATTTTAATTTTTGTAAATATTCATTGTCTGCTCATTGAGTACATCTGTAATTACTATATTTACAACAAGAGAGTTTAACATTCGTAATATCAATTACAAAATAATTATATTGTAGGAGCTTTAGCATTTTTTCGAGATACAGTTCATACGCACAGTCTATCAATAAAACTGCATTAGTTACGTCGTTAACATTGTTGTTCAAGCAAAATGAACGTCCATCATAGTACGTCATCATTAATTATAATGCTTTCAAATTTAATGTGGGCGATTATTCAATATGCCATTATATTAAAATTTTAGAGAAAGCAGAGCTTTCTCACAGATTTTATTTTATGAAAATTTATGTTACTAAAAATTATTACAAAAAATATTATCAATTGTAGGTTCAATATACAGATAAAGATTTTAAAGATAACATGGAGATAATAAAAAGAATTTATACAAATTTTTATATCCTATTTTTATAACTGCTAAAATTTGAAATTATACCGGCATTTGTGGAACCAATACAACTTGTATGCATTTATGATTCGTAACAAACGTTGAATCAAGTCGGACATCTCGGGGTTAATCTAATTTCGCACGAAAACACGCTAATGTAATTCCTTCCGCTTCCTACTCGGCTGCATTCCAAGCCGCAAGAAGAGGCTGCGTTCCGCAAGAACTCCGCGTTTATATTCCGTTCCTTACTCGAGATAAGGACTCGGCCTTTACCATTTGTAGGTGTCTCAACCACTTCCCTTGTAAAGGACATCTAAGTGATTTGCATATTAATACAGAGAGATATGTTCACTGCTCGCGGTTTTGCCGGAGATTATAAGTGCATAGTAGAGTAAGCGTACTGTCTATTATGTGACTAGAATAGCTGCTGAAGAGAAGTAGAGTGACAATAAAAATTAAAACAAGCGCGAGAAGAATTGTGATCGTGACGAAAATTAATTAAATTTTACTATTATTCTAATTTTCATATTTTAAGCAAAAAGGGAAAAGAAATGTTAATTATTTTAACATGTGGATACACGAGTAGAGAAGATTTTACCTTATCATAATAAAACTTCGATGAACTCATTAAAATTTCAAGCAGACACATTTTTCTCTGTCGAAAAGAATCGCGGCGCGAGGTAACATTTATTATCTCGTTCGTAGTACTCGTTTAATTGGATGAGAATGTGATCTTCGCGCCAAAGAAAAATTAAAAATGCAACGCAAACAAATTGGTATTCGTGTCGACGCGACGGTATATCATCGGTGAAACGTTACGTTCAGTGTAATTTATTGCCAATTATTCTACACCATGCGATACCTCCGCAAGTTTCTTACAGCACTAATATCAATTCGTTAAGCGAGAGTAACGCGCTGTTCTCCCTGGCTGCACACAATTAGCAATTAGGTAATTTCGCTCTGTTCCCTCCAGCGACTGATGGAACGTAATTTTTATTTTTCATTGGCAGCAGTTAGTTGCTTCGCGCTGAATGTAAAAAAGATAATATAATGTACAAGTTCTTACTAATGGTTTAATCCTTTTCAGCGCTCCTCATTTAAGTATGCATTCCTCGTGTACTTGCACGAATACGTTTTGCTATACAGAATTTATTAACTTAATTTATTTAAATAAGAAACATTATTTTATAAAATAAATATGCATCCATATATCCATATTTTGCATATTTTATGTTTTTCGAATCATGAATGAAATCTGTATACAAGTTATTACATAATAAAAAAATTATATCTAAAGCAATAATTATATAATCTAATCGAAATCTTAATATCTACCCATCATCGCAAAAGTATATTAATATATATCAATAAATATTTGTTAAAATTTCCTTTTATGTAGCAAATTGATTTTTATTACATATTTAATTCCTCACAATCTTCATCGTAGCCATATTTTGAAGTTTCAATATTTACCTCAAAATAGACGAATACTATTCTCAAGTCGACATTTTCCAAGTAGTTGTATGTGAAGATTTGTTGCGGAATTTTCAATTATACCTCTCCCGAAATTCTCTTGCTAAGAGAAATTGTGCTAAGTGCTAGTTCTCCTTTGCTGTTTGTCAAAGTAATAGCGTGACCTTCATCAAATATATACAAGTAATGTAGCTATTCATCTAATTAATTTAAAATTAGTTATCTTCAAAATTAAACAACTATTGTGTATATATTTAAATTTTGAAAAGAGTAGATCTTAATTTCTTTCTCTAGAAAAAAGCTTGATTTTATATTGAATTATTGAGGTGATCGAGCATTAATAAAATTTGAAAAAATATGTTATAAAACAGTAAAACTACTGTTATAAATAAGGTACGTGAAAAAAATTGTTTTAATTTGATAAAGATATATAAGGTATTCGTCCAATTAAAGTAAAACGTAAACATTACTGAAGTCATGACAAATCGTTGCAGTTCTGCACATAACTGTCAATTTGCGGATATCCGTTGCTTTCAAATTTCTCTGTAGGCGAAGTAATTGCTGTGACATCGACAATTGAAGCAGAAAATCGACTTGTATCAACTTTGTTTCCTTCTCTATTGTAATTTCCTAACACTTCTTCGCACGAGTTGCGTTTCTGTCTGAGAGAAAGAGAAGAGGTTCAATTACTTCCACGCTATTATTCTCGCCAATGCCTTTGGGAAACTTGTCGGCGGGCTATTTTCGAAGTACAATTCGAATCGGATTCTTGGATCTGACATGTACAAATATACGTTAAAACGTTATCTTCCTTTTCCCGTTCTCGTGCGTCATGATAACTCGTAATTTGATTTTGTATCTGGAGATTTCATTGAAATAATGGTTAAATAACAGAAAGAATATTATAAGAATATTATACAAGTGTCTGATGTAAACTAAATATTCCGGAAACAAATTCTAAAACAAATCGTAAAACAAAAAAAAAATAAATCCGAAAGATTAAAAAATATATATAAACAGCAAATTTTTGATTAAATTATTTTAAAACATTTGAGGTAAAAAAATTTTTTTTTTAATTATGTTGCATTTATGAATATAGAAGTTGTTCGCAGTATCGATTTCCAATTTAATTTTTACTTCTCACACATTTATATATAATAATGTATGAATATGATAAATTGTTGGTTCAACAATTTCCTGTTAAAAAATATAGTAAAATGTTAAGAGCCACTTTGTCTCATACTATTTTCAACGAAGTGCTATTGTTTTTACACAAAAATAGATTTTTTTCGCAGACTCTCGAGTTTACACTGAAAACGAGCACTGCAACAGCTGTCGCATGCACCATACTGTATAGAGAATGCAGGCGGGAAAAAGTTTTTAACGTATATTACGTGACCCGGTTTCATGCAAATAAATACTGTTATATGCAGAGAACGTCTGCTAAAGGCTTGTAACCCCAAACGATATCGATGATACTCCAAATTGGATAACGACGTTCGAGAACATGCTCGATAAATTTTAACAATGCAACTCGCGTTTATCACGAAGGTCGACATAAACGACTCGATAAAAATAGCACTTGCGTTCGACTATCAAAGTCACTATGATCACAATTAAGTTTTTTTCATATCCACTTCGCTTCTTTCCATCGTGTAAACGCTTTAATACACTTTCATAAACGTTGTAAGTATTTCGTTCTCCGAGGGGCAAACTCAAAAGATTTATTAAAGGCGCATGGCAAAGTGCTTTTCAATAGATTCATTTTCCACATGATAAACGTCATTACATGCTACTGTAAGTATCAACTGCTCACTTCGAAGCACGAATATTAGTCTAGTCTCGCCTGTTCAAAGACCAACCCTTTAATTTTGGATTGAATGTTCACAAGGAACGCAAGGCTTCTTCCAACTTAGAGCAAAAGCAATATGTGTACTTTACTAGGACTCCCTTGTAAATGAAATAAGTGTACCGTGACGTTCGGGCTTCATATTTGGTCTTCGGCTAAAAGCAGCGCTGAGTCCGTCCTAATGAATCGATTTCTCCAAATTGTCATGAACTAGGATATTCGCGCACTTATAACGTCGACATACAGCAGTAATAATAAATTGAGTATCTGAATCATTACGTTTACCATTAACATTAATTAAGCTTGCTTTGCTTACTATTCAATAAAATTCAAAGTCTCAATTGCGACATATAATTTTTTTTTATTTAAATAATCTTAAAAATAAAAATATTTTAATAATTATAAGCATCTTTTAATAATTTAAGTAATATTATTTAATTTTGAAAATTGTGCTATAATAAATTCACAGTTAAAAAGATGATATTTTTTATATATTATAATATTCAATTATTTCTTTTTTTTTTCTTATAAATTTTTTCGTATAAATACGAATATATAATATAAAATAATTTGCAAAAGCATTAATTATATATCAAAAAATAATTGTATTAACAAATAATATAAGCAGTCTGAAATTAACAATTAAAAGAGGACATGTAAATATATTAATAATTATCCATAAAAAATGGCTTTATAAATGTTAAACATTTAATCGATGTATGGCATCGGCAGATATGCCTTTTCAATAAAAATATCCAATTTCTCATACTTACTCAACCATATCAGAATCCTTAGCCACACGACACTCAACACCACGATCCACCAGGCATTTTCCGGTCACAGGATCGGGCGGTGCAAGATTGATGTAGGGAGGCTCCTCCAGAAAGGTTATTTTGAGGTGAAACTTCTCTGGAACGCCTTGCGGAGGAGTGTGAGTATTGCCCGGCCAGACGATGTCTTTAATATCAAGACCTTCTTTTTCCCAAGACTTCCACACACCGATCTGCCGACAAGCAGGTGAAAATAAATGTGTCAAATATAATATCAGTTTTAACAAATTGCTAAACATCATTAGCATATTTTTGTTTTTAGTAATTAAAATGTTCTTTTCTAAATTCTGTTAAATAATATAAACCAAGGTATGATGGCATAGTGAGAACATTATTTAACATTAATTTATCAGTGCGGCAAATTTGAAAATTTCAAGAATTCTAACAAGATCTTTTTTGTCTTCGTAATTTTATTCGAATGTTATTTTTATTTTTCTCTCTCTTCATGACTTATATATATATATATATATATATATATATATATACATATAACCTTTGATGAAAATATTTTCTCTTTGAAAATACTATTACAATTTTTTAACATTTATGCATGATCCATTCAAATAATTTAAAAAGCATCTTCTGTAAAGTGGTAGTCAGCTTTTTAATAATTCTTCACAATATTCAATACTTTTATTTAATATACGTAGAACGTTTTACGATGCAACTTAGATTGGGTTAAAATTTTGTAATGCTGACGATTTACGCTTGATTGCGTGCAAAGTTGTTTTCAGAAAGTATTGAGGATGAAAGTATAACGTTAGACGGAAGTAAAATTACAAAGTTTTTCTTGGATTTCTCTGGCTCGCTACGTAACGAGTCTGATACGAAAGAAGGTTTAGTTGCACACTAATATAAATTCGTCGTGTACTTCAACTTGCTTGCTTTCCAGGCGTATCGTTTCTCACTATCGAGCGCGCAATTTACTTTCTATTCAGACGAAATTGTATTCAGTAATGGAGTGCCATTATTCAACGTCAATAAAAATTTTATAATACATTCATCATTACTGGCGTTATCGTTTTAAAAAATCTAACATTGGAAATGATTGGTCCGATCGGCTGAAACTTTAGATACTTTGCTTACTGCCATAAAGAAAGAACTAAGGCAGGGTAAAGAAAGTAGAAACATAATTACGTTCTGATTAATTCTTTGACAACAAAATATAATTCAGAAATAATCGGCCCATAGCTTAAACTGGAAATTGTATAAATTCACAAAAAGAAATATGATTAAACACGAAGAATCGCCGAATATATTTGTGGCCTTTATTACAGCTTATTACGTCTTACGCGTATCCAAGCAGAAATATAATTAGTGTTAAACCGATAAGTTTAAATACTAAAGATATATTATAAATAACTATTTAAAGTATAAAATAAAGTAGTAATATATATAATTTCAAAGTAATAATTCATTTAAAAAATATAAAAACCGATTTCATGATTTACATGTTAAATTCTAATAATTTCATATTTCTTGTTGCAATATTAAGAGCATTGTAGTTTTGCTCCGAGCAATTTGATAACGGGTGTGCTGTCGAAATGTGAAAATAACGTTGATGTAATTTACGCCGGTAATTAAAACCATTTGCACATATATCAAACATTTCTGTATGTTGAAACATATATGGTCGACTCAGGTCATGTGGGTGAAAATACGTGACTGTCGCGTCGAAAAGAAGCGTGGGCGGCATTGGAAAGTGCACTCAGCTTTCCTGTATCCCCCGAATTACATTCGTAAAAGCTTCGTAAAAAAATAAAATCTATCAATTTTTAATCCTAGATTCTCGGCGTTTAGTTATGACGATATTCATCGAAAAAGAAACAAAATACACAAAAAAAATTTTAATAAACTATTTAATTGACATTAAATTTTAAATTCTTTCGATTTCGCTATCTGAAATTGAAGAATTCTTTGATATTTTAATATTAAAACAGTTCAATAAAAGACTTAAATTAATAATATTATTACTATAATATTCTTTAAATATTAAAAAAAAGTTTCTCGCATTTGTTATATGATAGAAATAAAATATTCTCTTATTATATCAAGAATAGATGTTATGTCTAATAATTAAAAATCTTCAAATTTATTACAAAAAAATGTGTTTGTTTTATGTTAGGAAAAGGAAATTAGAAAGCTTGAGAAAATTATCTGTTAATTCATATCTGAAAGCAACATCAATTTTTGTTCTCATTATATATTATTGGATAGATTTATATAAAATATTAAAAATAAGAAAATTATTCCGCACAAATATCTACATAAAAAAATTAATGAATGCGGAATTAAGATGTAAAATATTACAGAAAATATTAAATTCTAATGTACAATTTGTCTAAAAATTATAGAGCGCAATTTAATTGTAGAAAATTTCTGAGAATATATGAGAAATTTGTTTTTATCAAACAATATAATATATTATAGGACCAAATATGTGATAACACAAACACAATAGAAATCAAAGCCTTAAACGATCTAGCTGGATCTTAATGCTTGTATGATTCTTATGTGAATTTATATACATATGTAGTCCCTAGAAACGCACGCCGAAATGATTTTTCGGTCTTAAAAAGTTAATACTACTGCAATAATATTACGACTTAAATTGACTAGCAATTTAACAAATTTTTGATGCTTATTCGCATCTTCGAAACGATCTTAATAATGTTGAATGACATATTAAAATCTATAAATAATTAATTCTTTTTATTATTTTTAAAAAGGCAAACTATTACACTTATATAAATATTATAGTAAGCATGTTTACTGTTTTCAGATAAAATATGTACAAATCTATTTTTTGCTATAAACTTTTCACGATATTTCAAATAAATTTCAATATTATTTTCTTAAAAATAGTTATATATCCAATATGAAACTTTCAACAGATTGTATCTATTTCTGTCACACTTCATCGACTATTCATTGACTCTCGTGAGATGCGTTTAATCGAGTGCATTCGAACGCGAATTGATTTATTCCAAACATTCCAAAACGTTCTATTCAAAGAGGTAATTTTACGGTGATGTGAACAAGAAGCCAAACTAGGACAGTTTATTTACATCGTCAACATAACGCTCGCTCTGTACATTTCCGTCATTTCATCGTATGCATTGCGCGCTGTTATCAATAGTTATTGTCTCTGTTGACCCGCCAAAATTTATTTGGCAGTCATGTACTACAGCGAAGGAAGTAAATGACTTCTTGTAGAATACATAGCAACTTTTCAGGTGCGAGGGGCCAATAAAACGAAATTGCATTGCTCCGGTGTGAGTGTTGCTCAACTTCTGAATATGTAAAGCTTTCGCTGGCGATGCGCGCGAGACATCTACATATTAGAAACCAATACTGCACGGGGGAGTAGGTTGCACCGAGCATGTTGCCATGAAAATTCATATCACGCTCGTGTACGGTAGTATGATCGTACACTTTTTATTCCGTCGTGAAAAGGAACGAAAAAAATCAAAATGTGCAACCTTTCAATCAAAATTCACCGTTCTGTCTAGGAAGGCCGAGGATCATCTAGGTGATTTATACATGCGTGATTAAAAAGCTCGGTATTCGGCGTTACGTGCATTCGGGGCTTTTCGCTCGCATACCCATCGACCATGTTTTACGCCTGTGAATTAATATGCACGCAATCGCCGTGTTCTGTGCGTTCCATTATGGAAAATCCTTCGTTTACGTCAGAATTACGACAAGCGCATACGTATTTTATACGTTAACGTGGTTACATGGGATCCAAGAGAGATTAACGAAAACGACATCAAACGGGATGTTCGACAAACAGAATCACATTTTGAGGGGATATGAAGGATAATCATAAATTTTGGGATATGATGTCACAAACTGTATAAGAGAAATATCAAAGAAAATCGGATATACATGAATTATGTATCATTTAATCCTTTGATCCACGACATATAAAAATAATAATTAATTAAGATAATAATTTTTATGCTTTTTCTAATAAGTCAAAATCATTTGTGAGATGCAAATATAAATCAACTACAATACTATATAAATGAAAATCTCCGACTGATTGTTGTATCTCTTCATTTCCTTTTCAAATATCCAAGCTCGCAATCACCAAAATTGTATCTTCATTTTAACTTGCGGTAACAATTAACAACGGGATAAAAAATACGTATTTTCTTCTACTCTTACTTGTTATTCAGCTTAATTTAAATCGCGGATACAACATGGGTCAGTAAACCGCAAGAAAGACTCGGAAATTAAACTTCCACTAAGAAATATTTCGCAAAATGTCATACGCAATGACGCTAACTACAAAGCGCCGGTGATGAATTAATGACTACATTAACATGCCATGAATTAATGAACAGATTACAAGTTCATTACACGAGTCAAGATTATATCGTGTTAATTGTGCACGTAGATACGCCGTAACGCGTTCTTTGACGTTGATATTCTCTGTCGTGTTTCTCTCGTCAAGGCAATTGCTAACGCTCTTTTGACGTTGGATCAACGTGATGTATCGTAAAATCTTGCGGTATCTCCTAATTATTATGTTCTCGTTGGTACATCATTCCTTAATTATAAGTTCTGCCGCCTGTTTAGTTTGTGACACATTAGCAGTTACATCTTGTTAACCAGTTTGTTCCGCCGTGACGAAATTTCCACAATAATAGCAGCAGTTATAGTTATGAGACATGCAAGTTGACATACTGTAGATTATTGTGTATACGTGACAATTATTCAAATATCTTAAATATTGTCCTTCATATGTTAACGTCAGTTTAAGTATGTATATTTGTTATTTTGTACCTATATCTTCATTTGTATAAAAAATATAAATTATTAATGTGAGATATAATCCAGCTCATATATAGAACAAATATTATGATGAATAACACATCATATACAATTTCAATTAGTTTAGAAAAATAAATAAAGAGACTACAATACAAATAATTATTAAATATTAAGAATTTAAAAAAAGTTCCGTTACATATAAAAGATTTGAAAGCAAATTTATATATTGTAAACAACAAAAAATTATACAGAATGTCTTGAACTTAAATGTCAGAAAATTTCAGGAGCATGTGTAGGCAATCGATAAATTAAGAAAAAAAAAAATCCTCTAGAGATTCGTTTTTGCTTTGTTTTGGAAAAAATTACAAAAAAAGATAAACGTAGTTTTCAT